TTAAAGCAACTCTCTTCTTACTAAATGAGATTCTTAGCTATAATTTACTGGGCCCTGTGCATAGTTCAGTAGAAGTTCAGCCTTTCAGTCTGAGGCTGCCAAAGTTAAACCCCATTTATGTTGCACGAACCCCAAAGTTGTTCCTTTGCAGTGTTTGACGTAGCTTGTCTTCTCCAATTTTTACTGACGAGAAAAATCCCTGATGGCTGGTAGCAGTGGTTGCTAAATTACCCTGTCATGTGGAGGATTTTTCTTTCCTAACAGAGGCAGTTATTTACAGCCACAAGGCAATTTTTACCTGTTCTGTGACAGGTTTTAAATTTTCCTATGTTTTTTCTACAGGACCTTTTAATAGCGTGGTGTGTGTTGTTTTTTTTTGGTTAGAGCTTAGTCTCTGTCTTTTGGTTTGTTAACTTAGTTTCTTCAACAAAGGACAGGCCACTTTATTGCTGCAGGCACACTGAAAAAGACCAAGCCTTAGCTCAGCTTGAGGTGCAATGATAAGTCGGGATACTTAAAGCACTTTAGTTTGGTTTAATACACATGCCTTAAACTTCATGCAGCATGACCATCTTTTTTGAATGAATATATTAATCTTTGATTTAGTATAGCATAAAATAGTAATCCTGTACCTTTAAGGGCAGTTTTTATGAAGATAATGTCTTAGCCAAGAAGAGAGTTAGTTAACCTTTGAGAACATAGGTGAACATGAGTAGACGTACACCCCTGTTAGTCTCTGCAAAGATTTCAGTACATCCGGCTATCTTAAGCATCCCTTAGTACTTTAAGTGTAGTGAGTCTATTACCTTGTGTTTTATTTTAAGTATTTGAAAAAGAATAAGTCTGTCTTGTTTTAGTACTTTTGAAGAGTAATGATTATTTAAAATATTATGCTGTGGGAGGTTTTACCTCATCACTTGTGGTGCTGCTGTTCTGGAAGAGGGCAGGAGAAGGTGGTTCTCCCCCTAAAGAAAAGCCCCAGTGAGGGAATACAAGTAAACTTATGCCTTGTGCAGAACCTACAGACTATAACACTAATGCTAGAGAAGTCTCACTCAAATACAGTTTTTTTGTTTTGTTTTGTTTTTGCTTTTCAGTTTCAGTTGATATTAAAAGCATGGAGAACTGAAGGGGTTGAAGCAGTGTTTTTTGTTTTTTTGTTTTTGTTTTTTTTTTTTAAATGGTCATCTGGTAAGATTAGTATCATCTAGAGAAATGGAAAGCCAGGTTTGGTGGCTAGAAATCCGCAGCTGCGTCAAGAGCCCAAGCTCGGTTTTATTGGGTGACTTTATCCTATGATCCTTGAAGAATAAAGATTTAAAAAATTCCTTTTCTTTGTTTGTCCTGGAAATAAATGTCTATACAAAATATTTTACCTGATTACTCGTCATTTTTACACACTAATGAGTGCCTGCACTTTGATTAATGGGCTCAGTGCTTGCTAAAGCAAGTCCCACAGAAGCCTCTTATTTCTGGAACAGTGAGGTGTTGATGTAACTACTGTCCACTACAAAACAAAAAAAAACCCTCAAAACTTTTCATTGCTCTAAAACATGTATAGGCATAATATTATGCATTTCAAGATGAATTTCAAGTTGAATTTAATCAGCATTAAATTATGGACTATAAAGGGTTAAAAGGAATAGCTTTGCCTCAATACTTTCATGATGCATTTGTGTAGAGGAAGAGATGCAATAATAAGACCAGTTAAATTCACAAGGAATTATGGTAAAATACTTTTGTCTTAGTTGTATGCCATTTTCCCTGCTTTTATCTGGGTTCCACTGTACACTTTCCATCAATGAACGTGGAAGTGAGACTAGAATTGCCAAGCTAGCACCTCTCCGGCCACCAGTCTGCAGAGCTGACTGCATTTAAGCCTTTGGGCTGTTTGCTGGCTTTCACACCCTTCCACCAGGGTACTGCAATGGTGGTAGCTAAAGCACAGCTTTGAGAAGTTGGCAGCTTACTGTTACACTCAACATAATTAAGAGTGCTTCATTTTAGAGAAGCAAAGGTACAAGTTTCCTTAACACAGCACAAAGAAGCTGGAGGAAGGAAAAAGAAAGTCAGTTGATAACCGTCCTAGACAAAAAATACTTCCAAGCTTAAAAAAAAAAATTAGCAGGACAGTGGCATCAGCAAAATTTTTTGAAGCCTCCCCATTGTTCTCTTGCCTTAAGAGAGTCCAGCTACTTTATCATCTTTGTATTGCATACATGGAGGCTGTTCAGCATTGCTTACTGAACTGTTTAAGTACTGCTACCTTGCATTCATCTGCCTTCAAGCATTTACCCCTCCCCTCTCTTGCTTGGCAGCCATTCAGTTTTTCCAGCTGTAAATACATTTTGCAAATACTTAATCCCAGCCTCTGTCCCAGAGCTGCAAAAAGTAGCGATGCCTGCCTTTTGATATTTATGAAACCCAAGAGAACTGTGACTCAAGATCTGAGAAGCACAGGATAAGCAATGCTAACTAGTTTTTAAATGCAAAATAGCCCTGATGGTTAGGGGAGGAAAAACAATGAAAAGATTCAAAATCATTTACAGATTAATAGTAGTGAGATACCATTTCTGAATCTCTGTTTGTAGTAACATTAGAGCAAGATAAGCACACTAGAGGAAGAAAAAAAAAAAAAACCCTCCAAAAACCGAAAACAAAAAGCAAGCCACAGAAGGATGCATCCAAGTCACAAACTCATTAAGTACATTAAAAAAAAAAAAAAAAAACACCCCCCCCCCCCCCCCCCCCAAAGGAAAAAACAAGCACTCACAGCTAGTAACTATTAAAGGGTCTTTGGAAACAATACTAATTACACTGTGGGAAGCATTTCTCCAGGCTATCCTAGTAGTGACAATAAAATATTACACTTAATCATGTAGAGTGATTCTTTGAACTGCAATCAAAAACCAGGAAAAACCCAACAGCAGTGTTTCCTTATGGTCTCACAGCAACTCAGAGGCTAAGCTGGGAGCAGAACCATCTCCCAGATCAACACTCAACCTACTGGGCCTTCCTGAAGAAAGCAAACATTTGCAAATGTTAGTACTTCAGCATGGGGGGGGGGGTTTGAAAATGTTATTTCCCATCAAAAGTAAAACCAAATGAAATGTACAAAAGGGCTTTTGCTATTAAAGAACACCACTAAATCAAAAATAAAGGCAAAGCACCGTGAAATGCCAAGCTGGCATTAAATCAGGTTTGCTTGATATTTCTGCCAACTAAGCTGTGGACAGTAGTGAAACAAAAATAAGTGCTGTTTAGCAATCCATTTCACATGGAAAACATAAGTAATGCACCTGCTATGAAAGCCTATGTGCAAAACTGGATATGCTTTAAGCTACTACTATGAAGTAGATGCCAAGAGAATATGAAACAATAGTGTCCATTTTTTGTAGGCATATACCAAAATAAGGTATTAATTATTATTTGGCCTGCATTTGCAATAAGAACAACCATCTTATACACGTTGCAAATAACCGCATCATATGCAACATTTCTCTGCTGTGGTTATTTGATGACTTAGTTCAAGGAAAAATGGAAGAAACTACCCCCAGATCCAAAGATTCATTTTCACCGTCAAATCATAAGACACGGGTGTATGGAGGTGAGGGCAATGTGCTTCTTCAAACATGCAAGTTAGCGTGCTTGGTAAAACCACTGGTCAAATTGAACTCTGCTGTCGAGAGTCAGGGCAGGAAACAACGGAGGCATGGGATGGGAGGCTAGCTCAGAAGTCTCGTTATGCCTGAACAAACGCTATGACATGTCTCCCATCTGTTTCCAAGAACTAGTCTAAAGCATTAAGGGCTGTAGCTCATTTTTGCCTGTGAATAATGGAAAAAACTCTCAGCATCACAATACATCTTCTCAGTTTGCAACTCTTGAGTTCAGTTTTTTAAAAACGCAGCGGGAATCAGCTCCCCCAGCCTTTGGAAATACCCAGGTGTTTGTAGGAGAGGCGGGAAGTGCAGACCCTTACTAGAAATCCAGCAGATTTTGGAGGAATGTGGCTCTAGAGAGTAATCATTGGCTCACTGATTTTTAGGGCTTCCAGGTGAGTAACAAAGAACAACAGCAACAACAAGGCAACTAACCTGGCAATGTTTCCATGAACAAGAAAGTTTAAATTAATTTAAGTTATATGTGCCTTCTGTATTTATAACCTCAGGCTTGAATAAGGAGAGGGGAACATCAGCTCTTATTTTTTAGTTACAGTACTGTTGTACATGAGCACCTTTAACTATGCAGGTTAAAAAAAAAACTTTGCTTTTTTTGCTTGGCAAATACAAGCTTGTACATTTTTATTCTCCCACCTCCCAGCATGTGATCTCCGCATATAAAATAAAAAGACTTTCTGTAGGTTTTTATGACTTCACTCATCTGAGAGCTTAACTGAACCTTCGGCTTATGGTCAGCAGCCTATACATTTGGTTTATCTTGTCCGTAAAGCATTTATTCAGACAGAGGCCAGTACAGAGTGCCTGCATGAACAGCTCAAGGGATTGTCATGGTTTGCTGAAGTAAGAGAAACAAAAACCCAGAGTTTCCTTTTCTCTTGCTCTTCAGAGCAGAGCACAACCTGCATACCATGTACTAGATCACTCAGCCCTTACAAAGCCCCTACAACTCCAAGCACAATTACAGCACGTGCACTACCAAAAACAAGATGGGGAAAGGGAGGTATAAGGAACACAATCCTGTCATTTATCACAGTACTTCTTCCAGGCTCTTTTCTCTAATAAAAAAAAATATATATATAAAACAAAAAAACAGTTGTCTCTTGAAGGCACAGGCCCATTTACCTCATTTCAGAACCAAGCAAGCTAAAGTGTCTTTCAGAAGAAACCCCAAGAGCTTATTACAAAAACAAACAAATTTCACAAACTTGAAAATTTTTAAAGCTCACACTTGGGGGGGTTGGGGGGAAGCAAACAAAAGTACCTGCATTTAGAAGAGCTTTCAGACACCACCAACCGCAGGTCCACCAGAGACCCTTCACCTGCACACCCTTCCCACCAAGGCCAGGGCAGGCCCCTCCTATCCCACTTGCCAGTGCACTCAGGTGTGGTTGATTTGACTCTGTTTCTTAAAGCCTTCCCCACTCTCTCTGAAGAGCTAGGCTACAGGGGCTCTGGGATCCTGTTATGTGTGCGTGCACTCAAAATTGGATTACTTTAAGATGTTCGGACTTTATTAGAAAATTTTCCAAGCACAGACACTAATTTTTGCTGCAGCTTTATTTACAAAATAAAAGTATATTGTGCCTTTGAACAATGGGAAATTCATTATTTCAGGAGAGCATGAAATTCAGCAGAATCCCTGCTCCAGCAGGATGTAGTGCAAAGTTGGAGGCATATGAAAGCAGAGTGTTGTAATGGAAACAGACTCTGTAAACCTCAACATCCTATGCATGGCAGAGTGCTTACAGTTAGATAAAAGGCAAAAAAGGTGACAGAAGAATCCAAGGACATCAAATAAATGACTGGTAGGAACGGAAGCCCAACCTAGGAGTCTTACAGTTTCCTTTCCCAGTCACTAAGCCACCTGCTTAGCTCTGGATTTAGTAAATGGTCGATACAGCGTGACAAATGTACTTACTGCCTTTTGGAATCGGAAGGAGAGCACACACTTCTACATGTTCCAGAAGAAGTAGGGTAGGTGGCAAGGTACCTACCTGTGAGGACACATCCCACCTGTACAGGGAGATGAACTTTTCCTGGTGTTAGGTAAACCCTCACCGGCACAGTTTTAGATGTTAATCCTTAGAGCTGTCAGGCCCTGGCTGAAGAAATTAGGAATCTCTGTGATAAGAATTCCTGTTTCCTTTCAAGATATGCCTTGTTTGCATCAGCCCTTGGAAGAAGTTGTGCAGAATTAACTGAGACAAAGCATCCTCTCGCACAGGAGACAGGAGCATGCATTTTAACCTGTGGAGTCTACTCCATCCTGAAATTAAAGGACTGGGAGAGGTTTCCAGCCAGGCACGCTGGCAAGCAGCAGGGCAGGCTCTCGTGCTGCTCCGCAGGGCAGGAGAAACAGCGCTGCCCACCCGCGCACGAGCCTAGCCTGCCTCCCTGGCAACCCAGAGCTGGGCTTGCACCAACAAAGTGGACTCCGTGTCAACGTCGATGACAAAGAAAGGAAAAAAACCCAGACTTTGAATTTTAATGCAAGGCTGCTATCAACACCATACGCAAGGATGACAAATCTTTCACTGCTGAGGTGCCATAGTGTTATTTTAATTATTTTTCAAATAAAGTAAATACAACTCTTAGATTTAAATTTTGCTGATTTCACAATTTGTGGGTTTGTTTTATAAAATTTTTACAGTTACATTTTTCAGAATGCATAAGAACACTGGATAAAAATGCTTCTTTAAATGAGACAGTTTAGAATACATAAACTTTTGAAATACCACAGTCCTATTAAATTTCATGATGCAAAAAGATTGGTAGTAGAGATATTTCCATATTCTTTCCAATTGCATACATTCATTCAAAAGTTCAGAATCCTTTTTCCCTTGGAAGTTTTTCCATCTTAGCTTTAAAAGCCAATGGACTTATGTAAAACCAATATAGAATGGAAATTACTTCTGGTATCATTATATTGACATGCAAGGAATTTACCACTGAAGAATGTTCTACAATTTATGTTTTTATCTAATAGAATACGATAAAACCGAACTGCATGTTGTGTGTGACATATTAAGTAATATCTAGATAGTTCTTTCCAAATGTCTAGATAGTTCTTTCCATTTATTTCAAAACAAATTTTCAATATCAGACAGTGATTTGAGTGCCTTTATTTTTGATTGTTTAATCCGCTGCTGCTTTTGCCCTGATTTTATAAGTGACTAAATGCAGTTCCCACGGGTTAGAAATGAAGTTGTTAGCACTATTAGCATCTGAAAAAATAAAGTCCAGAATAATGCAGGATGGCAAACCAAGAATTCAGACAGCAGAAGCTGTTGGCCACTACTGAGAAAGCTGGCTATAAAGCCTAATTTTCTTCCCACCTGGACACCTGACACATCCCCAGAATTCCCCGAGAGTTTTGATAATTAGGCTCTTATTTGTGTATTTACTTCCCAAATTCTGATCTTCGATGACGTGGTTGGTCACTTGCTTCAATGGAAGTAACAGGTACCCATCACATATTCTATCATCATATATTTCTATATAAATCTTGTTTAACTCTTCTGACCATGAAAAAAGGAGTTGCATCTGACAGGATAGGAGATATTTTGATACCCAAGCCCTGCTGATCATTCTGGTCAGCAAGAAGGGAAGGAAACTAACCACGGGGGCATCAATAATTTCTAGTTTCATGTGCGAACTAACATAGTTGTTTCAAAAATATACCCAACCAGCGAACTTCTGTTATTTACCCACCATTTGTGAGAGCCTCTTCTCCACTCCAGCACGAGCCAAACTAAGACAGAATAAAGAGTCTGTTTGTATATATATATAATATAAAATATATATATCAGCTGGCATATAGTTATTAAATATATAAGATAGGATAGGCTTTTTGTGGTCCATAGGGATCCTCCGATTAAGTTGCTGTAATGCTTTACATAATACTCTTTCTAGCCTACAATTGGACTAAAATCACAAGGGGGCAGAGAAAGCTGTACCCCCCCCACCATGAGAGCCTCCACTCTTCCACCTGTGATTTTGAAAGGGATTGTGCTCTAGAGACAGAAATGTTACACTGTAAAACCACAAAAGGAAACATATTAGCAAGGACATTCCTAACTACAGAGGGGGGTCAAATATGGCAGCTCCATTTATAAATCATAATACGGAAGCAACAGAGAGTCATTATAGGCTTGCAGCATCTTTCTCACCAAAAGCTATAATAACAGTTCAACTTCACAGACGCTTAACAATGCAGCTCACCCAGCTCTGCACGTGGGACCTCAGATGCAGCCTGTGGAAACATTTCCTCTGACTTTACTGAACTTTGGACTGGGCTCTGCTAGGGCACTGTTAAATACTTCTCTATTTTCTGTATTTAATTTTCGACTTGATGTTCTAGAGACAGGATTAGGACTGCTCATTAAAATACCCACAACCAAAATTTGAGGCAACCCTGCTTAAATTTAACAAGTGCAATGGTTTATATTGGCTCTCCTGCAGCTGACCTTAAATTGAATTTTGCTCAAGTGGAAAGGCGTCTGAGCTATGTACACTTAGAAGTGGGCCTGAGTTTTTCTTATATCCCTTGCCATCCCACTGTATTACCTTATTAGTAGGCCTCTGTCTCTAGTGATGAAAATGGTATTCAGGTCAACCTGTTCTTTCTTAATTGCATTAGCCACTTGCCTAAGACTGAGGCTTCCTCTTCTCCTGGAGCTGCCTTTGCCTATTAACATGTGGTCTTTAAATATATTTCACTCTTAACATTGCACTTAAGCTGTCAGGTGAGATGGATAGACCCTGTTTTAGGCAGACTAAGACGATCGGTGGAATGCTAATCACAAAATTCACATGAGTGGAGAAACCCCTTTTTATAAAGGAAAATAGCCATTCTATATGCTGCTGGTTATACTGAATGTCCAAAAGCAGAGGGAAGAATTGCATTTGTGTTCTGCATATGAGATCTAATTATATTCAGAGTATGTTTTTTATAGCTGCAACATCTTCTGGAACCTTACTTTATACATAGAATCATCTTCCCTCAGGAAAAAAACCCTGCAGTATTGGTTTTCATTTTCCAAGTTTTTTTTAAAATTGTATTTTATTAATATTTTTCAACATGATAGCAAAGATCTTGCTCACGCACACACACGCACGAGCATACACACACTCACCCATCCCTCCTGAAGCAAATTCAGCAAATGAAGAGCTGCTTCTGGCTTGAGAATTTAAAATGACTATAGTAGTAACACGGCAAATTCCAGCAGAAGGAGCTGCATTACTTTAACTCGGGGCATCAAAATCAAAAGACCTTTCAGAGGTCTATATTCAGATACAAAGAAAAATACCTTCTCCCTATTTATTTATTGAATGCCATTAGATTCTACATACCTGTCAAAATCCAAATAGCCAGCTGATAATGCATTACTGAACTCCAACATTAGTAGACACTATAAAATTTCCCTTGGCTAAGCTAAAGTTTCAAGTTTAACTTTATTCCCAAGGACGCTCACTACATTTCGAACAGCAAATAAATATCCTGAAACTATTTGCTAACTTTTCACTTTTGAAAGGTAATGTTTGTTCTGAATGCCTCTAGGTTAGTGCTCTGTGAAATATTTGTCAAAGAGCCACAGCACTTTCCCTAATGCTTTGTTCATCACCGTTCAGTCCACTTTGCTGCAGGGTAGCGTTCCAGGAGGGCATTTCTCAGCTGAGCTGTGTGGATTTTGTCTCTAGTCTCTACAATGCAGGTGACCTGGGAAAAAAATTGGGAACATTCTTAAAGACATGGCACCATTCTCAGACAACGGTATTTCCAACTCAATCCTAAAATACACTCTTAAAAGCAAAACGATCAGCCAACATAAGAACCCTGGACCTTGCAGTCCTTATCTATGCAGGTGAGAAAACTGCTAGGATAGAAATTCTGGGGCTCTTCCAGTCCTTTAGCATGATCTGCAAACCTTCCAGTGCCCCACTCCAGGGCCTTCAAAGTTTGAAGGAGATAGGCTGATCCTCTCCTGGCTCCCGGGCAAATAGTTTTCCGCTGTCTCTAACAGGTCTCTCTGAAGTCATCCATTAGCAGCTTCTCTTTTCTGTTCCGGGGGGAATATACCCTCTGCTGCTGCTGTCTCACCCATCTTTGACTCTTGCCTCACCAAATTTCCATGTTTCTGGGCAGTCTGTGTTCCAGTATCTCCAGCCTTCAGTCCTTCTTTTTAAATTCTCCTCTCCTCTCCCATGGACCTAGCCCCAGTGCCATATTGTCCCTGCAACACGCTGGCTGTGCGTTAATCTACTTACACAACTTTTATCTGTTTTATTCCGATTGTGTTTTTGGTTGTTGCATCACTTCTAGTTTTCTAGTCTAGCTGTTGCTAAATCAAACTAAACCCAGGCAAACCTGAACTTGATAGTTTTCTTTTTAGTCTTTACTTTTCTCTGTGAGTATTATTGACAATCCTATTGCCATGCCAGCCACGCAAGATGATAACTTTAATGCTATTTTTTCAATTTTTCTTTGACATATCTTTTCTACATACTCCCACCTCTACTGCACCATTCTAAAATCTGGGCTCCCCTTTGATGTGAGATAAATATACCAAAGTCTGCCAAAGGTGAGGCACCGATGTGATGGTGCATAATGGAAATTATAGTTCTAAAATTTAGACCACTAACTTCAGTCCTCTCTGATCCTGCTGGAACTATCACTGATGTTGAAAGTGCCACGTGGAAAAAAGGCCTTGCAGAAACGTGGAAATCTAGTGAGGAAAGGATCCAAGATGAGTCAGGGTGCAGCAGCAGGGAATTTATTGCAACAGGCATATCTATGGAGAACAGAGAAGAAAAACTAGTCGTGATAACTTTAAGGTGGATTACTAGAGGAAGATGCCACGTATAACGCTCCTATCAGAACTGCATCCTTTAAAGAAAACGAGGCAAAAAGAAATCTTAACTCAAATACGTTTATGAGGACATTTCTAAATCGGAACTTGGTGAATTCATATTTCCTGGAACGAGCTTAAAATGACAACAAGCCTTTAACTAAACTATCGAGTGAGAACATGTAATGCTAACTCCAAGTTATCCTAAAAAACTATGAGCTCCTTCTAATTAACTACAACTTCTTAAATATTCATCATGAATTAAGCCACATTTCTGATCTGTTTTTGTAATTCTTTGTGTCCTATTTTAAACACAGCTCTATTCTTTTTAAAAACTTTGGAATACAGATTAGATGCCAATTGCTCTGCTGAAAAAGTTGGATGTTGTCACAAGAAAAGGACAGTCACAGAAGACAGAAATACTTAACAATGAGGGAAGAGGAGAGAACACAATGATTGGGAAAGATATCTAAAGGCACTAAAGAACCCATTATCCATTCTATGGTTAGTATAAAATCCTCGCAGCTTTGCGCTCGTATTTTCAAGTGTACATATTCATCTCTCACAGAGTTTGTAAATAAAAAAAAAACAAAAACTTTTTTTTTCCTCTGCAGCAATCATGCCTGAGCAAAGCAATCGTTGCATTTGGAACTAGTCTGAACTTGCTAGGTTCAGCTTTGAATATTTGGCAGCAAGCCATTACTCTGCCCTGGGAGCAAGCCTGGGAAAGAATTTTGATTTACAGAGCTAACTATCCTTCTCTCTGCCCTTTTCTTTCTGCTGGTGATTGAAGCCAGATAGAATGGGACAGACTGGAGCCAGACAGCTTGTAAACATTTTGGACTAACACGCTTTCTGCGTGCACAGTGCCTAACACAAATGCGGTATCGGCTGTGAATATGTTATAGAGTAGTGTAAATGAAATGACAACAACAAACAGCTCTTGAAATTTACCTAACCTTTTACATTTGCCTAATAAAGTAAGAGAGAACATTTATTCACAAGAGCAGCAAAGAGATAATCAGTCCATGTTTTGTAACAGCTACAGATCCAAAAGTCAAGGAAGGCAAGAAAGCAAAGTGTGGGAATTTGCTTTCTTGCTCTGATTAAGCCAATTTCCACTGCAGTTTTAGATCTCTTCATAGACCCCCTCCGTCTTCTTCACTTCACTCAGGAAATATGATTTATAGGGGTGTCCAACAGGAGAACCCTCACGTTGCCAGGCAGGTGATAGGTACTCACCTAGATGCCCTCTGCAGGTTACATACCCACTGACCAGCTAACAGTAAGTGGTCTTATTTAAGAAGCAATCACAAAACTTGCTGCCTGATGTTTCTTAAACTGAGGACATGACAACCCATGACAGCTAGAGAGAATCTGAGTGGGCAACTACAGCTTTAGATTTAGTTGAAAATCGTCAGCCCTCAATACTAACACTGGACATAGGCTTTCTGATCCAGCAGAGCTCCCACTGACTTCAGGATCACGCTTGCACAACAGACCTTTCTTTTCCATGTATCAAAAAAGCAGTACATTTTTACAAACTTCTCTGCTTCTAGATCTTATCCTTCCTGGATTTTAAAAAAAAAAAATTATATGTTTCCATAGCATTGTTAAAATAATCAGCCAGATGGATCTTTTACTACTTTGGATTTCTACTCTCTGCGGCAATAATTTAAAGATTGATTCTAGCCTAGGGGTTTAGCTCACCTGTTTTTTATAGCAGGCTGACAAATAATGGAAGATAGAATGGTCTTTGCTGAATATTTGCGTCTCATGGGTTTTATTTAATAACTAGAAAAGATAATTATAAATAATTGAAGGAGAGGGACAAAGGCTAAACAAAGATTACACACCAACATAATCTGGATATGTCTAAATTAATTTATTCACAGGAATTAACTAGTTCCATTTCAAAGAGAGGAAAGTTGGTATCTTCACAAATGGAGGAGATGTACTGAGTTCTATGCTGTGTGATTTGGGCAACAGGGTGGATACCCCAGCTCCCCTTTATCTGAAAGTCTCACGTTTGGCCACTTTGTCTTTTAAATCATATTTTCCTAGATATTCAAAATGAAATTTGTGTGCCTCTCAGCTCCCTGTTGCCTACTCCCTTGTTGTAGGCTGTCTGTGCAGATAAAGACATTAGGTGGACCTGAAAAGTCAATGCTAGAGAACAGAGGAAACGTGAGTAGAATTGTTCATTCAAAATATTTAGAGTCTTTTGTGCTTTTCCAGGCTCAGTGTAAAGATAGATACTAACCAGCTAACACTATTCCTTATGTCCCATTTACTTCTGTCTCATCCACTGAACCTTTGTATCCCACTTCTATAATCCTAGAAACCATATTCATACTCTTCTTCTAAGCCATTGATCTGTGGGGATTCAAAACAACTGAATATTTGTGACGCACCATGCTCAACAAAAATATAGGTTTGTTTGCAGAGAAATCACTGGAGTTAGAAAAGACAAATTTGATTTGTTATTTATATTTACTATATATATATTTACATTTGAGTCCACATTTTTCTTTATACATTAGTTGCAGTTCTGCAAATGAAGTAAGGCTTTCTGTTAAGAAGATCAACACTGGGGGAATTTTCTAAATTATTCACTAAACACTCACTGCAGGTTACTGCACATTATATTTGACAGCAGCACGTGAGGCGCTGGTGCAGGGATTAGCTGCCAGATAGCCCACAAGTGCAATGCAGTGCTTGAGAAAGAGCTCACATCTGCCATGTTTGTTACTTAGTTGTGCAATTTGAGTCCTTGTCTTCTGGCAAACTCTTGTATTCACATTGGTGAGCACTAGCACAAACAAGTTATCACAGCATTACATAATTTAGATCAAAATCAAACAGGCCTACTCACAGCCTCCCCAGACTCTACTTCTTATATCTGAAATTGGAGTATAATATTCTGTATAGGGTTGGTGTGGGATGCCATTACAGAAAATTACCGAATTCTTTTGGAAGGCCTCAGAAAAAAATGTATTATCTGACTTCGCACTCCAAATGTCTCCATTTTGCAGATGGGGAACTGAAGCAGGGAACGAGCCGCTCGCCCAAGGTCATGCAGGAAATGCTTTAGGAATGATGGCATCCCTTGTGTAGCTAGACAGCTGCATATTCCTCTATATGCTCTTAACAGGCCAGTAATATGGAATATGTTGGCAAGTGGGGACTCTAGTTCTCCATATTCTCCCCTGGTCTTTTACAAAATGCATGTAGGCCCAAAGGGATTTACTAAGATTGACCAGAACACACCAGAACAGTTTAATGACTCCTGGCCTGAGGTGAGTAAACTTTACCCAAAAGCACGTATTACACCGCACAGGGTGAACCAGGAAACTCCGCGCCGCTGGGGCACAGCGTGATGTTATCACAAAGAGAAAGCCACATTTGGCTTATGAACTGAAATTTGGTTGCACAGAGGGAGAAGCAACGTGATGGACGCTGTTTTGACCGTCGGTCTCTTTCGAGGTGTTCCAAGCCCTGGCTGAGCGGGGCCCCCGGAGGCCCTTGGGCAGCTGGGGACTTTCGGCAGGGCTGGGATGGAGCGAGCTGCCAGCTGCTGGGAGCCCCTGGCGGCCCTTGCTGCGTCGCCCCACGAGCACTCCTCTACCCACGAGGACGTGTATGTGGCAGTTTCGGCGGCAAGGAGAAGTCTTTCCTAGAAACTTGATGAGTTCCAAGATGCTCTTTTTCAGCTGAGTTGCCTGAGGCCTAAATATCAGACCACCCTTCGGCAGGCAAGCTGTTAACGTGTAACACAGCCTTGTGCGGCTTCATAACAAAGACTGTTTTTCCTTTCATTATTAAGTCATTTATTGATTTTGTTTATTGACTTTTCCTCTGAATCAATAATAGCACAAAATGAAAGAGATTTAAATAGCTGTAAAGAGGTTTGGAGATGGAAGCAACTTAAGCAAGAAATTTTCCCATTTTGGATCTGAGGGACACTGCTGATAAAGGATAGGGAAGGACCATAGAAGCAAACTGTAGCCTCATCCCACAATTTGGGTAATCCTTAAGGTCTCTCTCTCCAGTTGGCTGGTGATGCTGGCTGATGTTTCCATTTTCTATGACCTTTATTTTTGTCTAGATATTCTTGGCCATCCTAACCGCTTCAAGAGCTGTGAACTGTGAAGGGTCTACTAGATTTGCTATTCTAAAAGGTGAGCTGCTAAGAATATTATCTATTTCAATATTGGGACTTTGGAAGCCATTTCCTAACTGCTCATGTAAAAGTGAGTTAGATGTGCTCCTGGTAAAGCTTTTTTTGCTTCCAGCATGTATTAAGTTGCAGTCCTCTGCAGGACAGAAATCCAGTACGAGCCACAAGGTAAGTGAATCTAAACTAGAGGTATGAACCAAAAAAAACTCTCATATATTTCCAAAGAATTTGACCAGCCAATCCTACCGCACAAGCCCCTTCATTAAGCAGCTGCTAAATCTAGCTGTAGTCATAAACCATTCAAGGAAAAAAGGTTTGTTGTCCCACCCCATTTTTTAATTACTTATTTTCACTAGTGACATATTCCAAAAGTGATTTTTTCAAAAGAGTAATCTGAACACAAAGCATCCTTTTAGAAAGTCATTACTACTTCATGAAATCAGGCTATCAGCAAAGATCTTCCCACAGAGCGTTCCAAGCATATACCAGATGAACAAACGCTAATCTCTCATTTCACCAGAGGGAAAAAAAATCCTTCATTTCCCTGACAAGCAGTGAATAGAAGCCATGTTTCTCTGACTTGGAAATGAAAGGGTAAATCATGAGGATGATTAAATACGGAGATGACAGTCTTGACAGGACTGATTTAATATTTCAAATAAGCCACTATACTTACTGCACTGCTCTGTCTAATGCTTAATCTATATCCACAGTCAAAAGCGGGTATTAAAGTTAGAGTGCAGTGGGTACAGCTGTAATGTCTTTCTTCTGGTTGCCCCCAGTTCAACAGAGGTATACTGTATACATAGTAATTCTTGTTCTTGATTCAGATTTATATGCATGCTTAACTTAATGTGCTATGATTTCCACCGAGCAAAACGATTCAAAGTCTGCTTTAATAGTATATGCCTAAATTGCTTTGCTGGCGCAAGGCTTTGGTTCTTACAAGCAACAACAACAACAACAAGTGAAGCAATTCCCCCCACATATGAATTAAATTTAGTATGAAAATAGGCCTGTTTTTATATCTTGACTTTGAGCAAATTCATTTCAATGCTTAAAGATAAATTTGATATTCTACCTTTTTTGACTACCCTTTGTTCTAGTTTTCAAGTAAAAACTTCATGATTCACTACCAGATATAACCACCTGCAAAGTCACTCAGGTCTATACATTTGGATCACTACTTTGTAGCTCACATCTAATTATCCAATAGCCTCTCACAGACTGGTTAAAAGCCATCATGCTAGTCCAACCTCCAATTAAATTATTCAGGGACATAAATTCCTCCCTTTAATCCTCTTTAGCACAACTCAGTGTCAGATTCCTGAAGTGGACAATCAGTGAAAACAGACTGGGTTTAAAATGTAGGTAGTAGTATATGACGCTTTTGACATTCAGAGATTGTATTTAATATGGCTTTTGATAAAATTGTCTCATGGTAAAGGCTGCAACAGCAATGGAAAATTGTTCTAACATTCTCAATCAAAAGACTAAGAGAGTAGATTTAGTTTAATGTACTTAGCAGCATGAACAAAAATTACAAGTCTTATTTCATAAAAATCACACTGAGAAGTCTTGTAAAGAGTTATAGGGTTTGTAGAGCCCAGCTTTCAGTCAAGAAAAGGTTTATCAGAGTTAAATTAATTACTTATGAATCTGAAGGATTTGTCTATTCATTTCAATGTCATGTTACCTTCCAGCAACCAAATGAGTATGCTGGCCTATCTTCATGGTGTACTGGAGAATGATGTAGATTTAGTCCTAGACACTTCAGGGGACTATTAATAGCATGCTTGGAAGGATGCTCCTGAACTTCATTGCAGTCCTTTGCTACAGAAGTCTTTAATCTAATCTAGTCTTTATTTCTGCAAAAGAAAATGCTGAGCAGGTCCTTGCATCCAGGTGAATTCGCACCCAGTACAGGAATCAATGTGGAACTCCTGCAGCTGCAGAATTTAGTGAATTTTTTTCATATTTAAACACCAACACGGAACCAACTTGCTTATTCATTAGTCTTATTGTAAGAATTCCAGTTGTGAGTCAGTTTACCAAAGATCCCAAGTTTGGCCCTTTCATAACACTACCACCTGCGATTTCACAAACTCCGTCAGATTAGACCTTGACAATAGTAGCATGAAATCAGTGGAACCACACCTTTGCAAAACCAGTTGAAATAAGAGTTATGCTATGAAACAAACAATCCTTTAAGCGCTGACATTAGCTGGCAACGCTTCCTCACTGTTATTGTACCAAATATTCAGCACAGGAATAACGACCTTGCTCTGTGCTCTTTATGGACAAGGTACAAGACTGAGGCCCTAGTTAAAAATGGGGATTCCTTAAGAGCTAGGGTGTTATTCACATCAATTTAAGGCAATTTGATCTTGGATAATTACAGCCAGCCTACTCAGCTAGCTCTTCCCATTCTGAATGGATGCTGTAGCTTGCTCATCACTTCCGGCACAAAATTGTTCTTATGACAGTTTGCAATGTTAACAGTTGGAGTACTTCACTGACTCTGTTGCAATAGCAGGCAAAACAGGTCCTGTATTACTTATATGCCTGTTAAGTGTTTGGTGAGGCAAGATGATGTATAACACAGAAGAGTTTATCTCTGCTGATTACCTATCATACTGCTCTCAGAATCACTGTGCACACTGTGAACTGTATTCACTGCTGGACTGCATCCAAATTCCACACATAGAAATACAGGAAAACAGAAGAAACATGGGGAGATCAGTACTGCTAGAGAAACTGAAACTGCATTTTATCTTACCTCAACAGTGAAGAGCTCAGATGTCACAAATAAGTGTTCTTGTTTGATATCCAATACTCTAGATGAAATAAAGGATAAATTAGAGATCACAATAAGCTTTGTCACTGTAAAATAATTAAGTGTTTGGACAGTAACCATCTTTGCTGTTTCCAGTATTAGACACTTCCTCAAAGATGCAAAGATATTTGCACATTGAAATAAAAAGGAAGGGGAAAAAAGGTATTCTGAACTATTAATTACAATAATGCAAGAAAAAAATATCTGGACTAATTTAGTTAATTAGAGACTTTCCTACAGATGACATTTAGAAACTTGTCCAAATCTTAATAATCTTTGTGCTACTCTGTGACTATAGCTCCTTACTACAAGTCTGACTTACCTTGCTTCCTCCCGAGCCAGAATCTCCAGTAACTTTGCAATGTCTCCTGGGCAGTCAGAAAGCACAAGGGAAAATCTGCACACTCTGTTATCAAGGGTCAGGGCACGAGCTATGCACTGTTGCAGCAAATGTAACTCCACGTTTCCACTGCATATAACAACTGCCACTCTGAGAGGAGAGAGAAAATAGGATTTTTGATTAGTAGAGATTTGTGCAAAGGAATCATAAATCACAGACACTGTATTCAGTATCAGCTTAACAGCTTCTGGGGCAGCCCTTTGGCAAATGCATGTTACATTTCAGAGCAGCTCCTGGCTCTCAGTATCCATTGCAGGAGTGAAATGGGACCCTGAAAGCTGGATGCATTAGCTTGTCTGAATCTTGGGTCTGAACCCAGTCCTGTACATTTTCCCACTTATTTTAGCTGTACTGAACTGAAGTTTGTTGTTGCCTTGGCTGTACTCTATCAACCTGTTCTGAAAAACTGCTTTACTCAACAGTATTTTAGTGTACGATGCTGTGCATTGGAAATTTTTTTTTGTTTTGAGTCCATGCATGTTTAAATACATTCTGAGCTATGTCCTGAGCCAAGGCTCAATCCATTTAAGCACTGAGTGCTCAAACACAGACGTAAGAAGGCACTTACCCACACGTTTTACTTTAAGCCCAAGGGTAATCCCATTGATTATCTGGGCAAAAGCTCTCAGGGCTGAGAGGCAGGTGTCACTGAGGGACTGCGGATGAAAGCCTGGCTTCTTTGCCTGCTCTCACAACTTGTTTCCTTATACAGCAGGCATGGTCCCATTGGCAACAGGGACAATTTCCACATGTGGAACAAGAGGAAGCAACAGACTGACAACAGCAGCATGCTCTCCTTGGTGACTGCCCTGGCAGATGTGACCAGGCCTTGTGCACCTGCGTGCAACAGGTTTTCTCCTAGTCATTTGAGAGCACAGGAAAAGGATCGTATTTGCCTGGTCTCCAGGCTGACATTTGTCTTGATCTACGTGGTGTTTTGAGCTGTGTGTGGTCTCTTCAGCCTGAAGTAAGTGCCACTGACAAGCCCATTGCTGGTTCAGGGGCAAGAACTGTCTTGTCGCTCTAAAACGAGCACTCTCCCACACCTCCATTTCCAAGGAGAAACACACGCAAGCCCATGCTTTTACCCAGCTCCCTGCTAAGCTCTCTGTTTGCAACAGCTGCCTTACCTTTTACCCTTCAACTCTGGCAGCTTCCCAGCAATTAAAGCTGCAAGTCCGATGGCCCCCTCTGCATCAACTGTGGCTCGCTCATACTCCAGCAATCTCAGCATCGAAATGAGGATGTCCTCCTCTCTAAAGGTGAGAGAATTGTGTCAAAACAAAACAAAACGGCTACTAAAAGCCGAACACAGTGTATTTATGTATTAAGGGATACCTTCTATCCTCCCAGTTATTTAATGACCATTATTACATTATACAAAGCTGTGCTGCTGAGGATGAATGCGCATCTCAGGCATGTTATTAACTGAAAGACAGGGCAGTATTTTTTACTAGAACCATTTTTATAGTTAAATTCTAGGGGGTATTCTGCCAATCGGGCCTTCCAGTGAAGAGTTTTTGCAAACGCTGCCATCAAATGCTGTAGAAAGCAGCAAGAACATTAGCATCTTAAGCAGCAGGTGAATGAGGGATGAGGGAATATTAGCAGTGGGTGAAATGTTTACTATACTCTTCTTCCAGGCAAAGAGTGAGATATGTGGGATTGGGCTCATTGCCTGCAGGGCCCCTTCCTGGAACGAAAGGCACACTGCCCACCCAGGCCCCCAGAGCGCACACGATGGCAGCTTCTGCCCAGCTGCTTCTCACCGTACAGGAAGAGCAAGACCTTACCCTGCTACAGCCCATTTTTCACATACAGCAATGTTCACACGATACTATTCCTTTTCTTCACCTACCTCACAGCAACAACTTTATCTACAAGTTTCCCAGTCAGCTGCAAAGAATTGCTGCCAAAGCAAAGTCCACTCACATCTGCAGATTTCAAAATACAGAAATAAGAAGTTGACTGCTCTAGACATGTTCCGCATTTTTTAGAGTCCTGACATTGTTTTGTGCCCCCAGTAGAATAAAATAAAATGAGCGCAGCACATTGTTGTTATATGATCTTAAGTTATTTGATTTTTGTGTGACAAAAATGAGTTTTGTAACAAAAGACCAAAGATCTCCCAGAAAGAATTTGCCATTTTAGGCCCCATTAGGAAAATTCTGATTCTACACCTGCATGGTCTCACTGAGCAAGGGGCCCTGTATACGAGTGCTTTTCAACGTACAGTGAGGCCTGAATTAGTGAATAAGAACTAAAAGTGGCACAAGGTCTGAAAGCTGCAGCAGGACAGTCAGCAAAGAGGAGTAAAGACAGGCAGAAATTACTGAGAGAGTAAAGAAGTTGTTTATCCTTAAAACTTCCATTTAATCCAAAACTTCAGGAGATTCAAACATCAGGTAAACAGGATATTCTTAATTTGCTTAACAGCTGAGTTTTTCCTGAGCAAACGGTATGAAAACAACTGAACCATGTTTATAAATGCTGTTGTTCTAACAACTGTTTCATAAGTCTAAATATTTAAGCACCAGATTTTTCTGCCTTTACAGAAATTAGTGTTTCATATGGAGCTTTCCCATTGACTTCAGCTGTTAAGAAACCTCTTGAGAGCACAGCGGTCAAATAATTACTCTCTTATTTCTAAGTATTCATCTGAACATTTCACGTGCACTGGAAATAGTATTGGAGGGAATAGTGTTGGGGGAAAGGGGAACAGGTCAGAAGTTGCTCTTACAGTATGAGTTAAATTCTGATTTTTCAACATTAGATTTCATTCAAATATGTTTGAACTGAATTAACTCCAAAAGAACATGATCAGGCTGGGGAAACGAATTACAATTTTTATTTTACCTCCAAAAGCAAAATCCATTCTATTACCTCCACAAAAGTGATGACTGCTGCAAGCCTGATCTTCGGTTGGGTGGCCAGCCTTTAACGACTGTTGTAACACAGGGAAACTTTCGGATTCAACCCCCTGAGGAAGGGAAGTGATGTCAGTTTTTTACTGATCAAGTTATAACAGAAGTCACCGCCAGAGTGGATACAAAAATGCTGCATAAAGTTTCCTGTTAGAATTAACACTAAGTCAATTTGAAACTCACTAATATACGAAATGTACACTGTCCATGTACACATGTACACACCATATAGCTTCAGTTTTAAAAGGGATAAGGAACTTTCTTTTTTAAAAATAAATTTCAACAGAAATTTCAGAGTAAATTAGAAACAGGTATACTATGTGAAAAGAATTTCACCTATGTAAGCATTTCATCATTCAATAGCACAAAAGAAACGGAAGGTGATACTGGGGAATGCAATCTAGCTGCTGTATATCAGATGATAGCTAGGGGTAAATGGGAGGAAAAAGCCTGAAAATAGTATTTTTAAAAAACCATTACAGAAAAGTTTGACTGAAAAATAAACCTTGATCAAGCATCCCTCTACTATTTCACAACTGTGAAATTATCCATTCCATGATCAGTATGAAGTTCCCAAAGCTCCTTCCTCTTCCTTTCTGGCTCATTCCTTATCACTTTTGAAGCAAGAGAATTATGTTGGAAAAGAAATCTGCTGTTTAACTTAATTACCGTCACCTTCCAGAAAGAAAAAGATTTCCTTTTACCAACAATATTCAATTCTATAAATTACAGCAGGAAAATCCCTAACTGTAAGTCACCAGTACTGTTGTACTTAAAGACAACAGCACTGTAATATGGGCCTTTACATCCCTCTTCAGCACGCTGAAGTCAGCTAGCTTAGACCACAAGTAATACTACCTTTCCTGAAGCGTTCAAAACAAAATGGAAAAAATAGCACTTGCACTAAAGTTGCAAGTCGCCCAGCCATGGCAACAATATAAAACATTAATCAAAAATTTTAAGAGATTTTTCCAAAACAACTATGCTGTCACTAAACTTATCTTGTGACTTCTTTAGGGTCAAGATTTTCCAATAAGAAATTCATCCAAAACACAGAACTAGATTTGGTCTGTTTTAGAAGAGTGTTCCCATATATACATATATTCTTTAAATCCAGCCAACCAGCCAAGAGACAGCAGGCTTCCCAAGCTCTCAGATACACTTCTCCTGGGCAAAGGCCATGGACACAGAGGACCCCTGTTCACAGCATGCACAGACTCTGCCCATGTATCACCAGATAACCAGTGCCTTTTGGAAATCTCAGCGGCAGGAGCCGAAAGCAGTCAAAATATGACAGTTTAAAGGTGAAGGGAAACTTACAATCACAGAAATACGGGGGTTGAGATGTTTGAGTGCAGCAGCCGATCCTGCCAGCAAGCCGCAGTGCTCTCCTGCAGGGAAAATCACTGCATCCAGCTTTGGCGCCTGCTCATAAATCTCCAGTCCCACAGTTCCCAGCCCGGACAGGTAGACAGCACTGTCTTCCCTGCGGGAAGGAAAGACACAGCTCAGCAGAGTTCACATTTTGTCAGTGCAATAGTAGTTCAGCCTACGACTTCAAAAATATAGTTCAGCAGAAAAGCTATATGTGCGAGTAAATCACCAGCACAATCAGGCCAGGAGGCAAAACAACAGGTCACTGCCATCAAACAGATTGTCACAGGCTTTGATTTTGATTCTTTCCAAAGCAGTGCAGAACCAAAAGGCAAAAACGAATTGATGCCAGAGCAAAAATCCTATGAAGAACAGAGGCACAAATCCTTCAGTTGCAACCAAGTCAGCAAGCATTTCAAAATACCTGAATTACCAATTATCTGGGCTTGACAGGGTAGCAAGTTTTCATGCAGGAGGGAATGCTGGGGTTAAAGCGGTAATCAGCAATCAAGGAGAATTCACAATCCTATCTGGCCTGGAGCAGGCCTCCCCAACAGCCTGCAGGCAGAAGAGCGCATATCTTTGCTGTTACTGCTACCAGGTATTTACTGATCTGAAAAGGACAAAAGTCCTTCTTTCAGTGCCATTACTCCCTTAAGTTTCATGAATTTTAAATGTTGTAGTCAGAACCAAAAGCCAAGACTGGAAAGATCTTCTCTCTCTATTTACAAGTGGAATTTAGTGTTCATGATAAAAAGGAATTTTAATGAAATTTAAGCACTGCGTTCACCCTCACAGATACCAAACAGAGTAGTACAGAGTTAAGTCTTTCCACAGCCCAGGGCCAATATCTGATACCTTCACATTACTTTGGAAGACCTCACGGAAGGATAAGAGAAGTATTTAGTCTGCCAAAACACTTACTGGTAAAACACTTTAAAGCACAGGCAATTTAATAAGCAGAATAGGGACAAACAGAGTAAAAAATGATTGAAGAAAAGTCCATTGTATAGTCAGTCACATGACTGACATACCTATTTCTAAAAGCTCTTTTGGATTTTATTTAAAAGTTAGCAAATATGTAAACGCAGCATGATATATGAATGAAAAATATGAGACCTCTGGGTGCCTGTACATTCTGCTTTTTTGGGCAAATAGATAACCAAACAGAATTACAGATCCAGTTATTTCACTTATTTTAACTTTACCCAGTGCTTTCTGGTACTAAGAAGCTGTGCTCCTTTGTTCCTGTTAGATATGCACAGAGAGGCTCAGCACAGGGGCCCAGAATGCCCGCAAGGTGGAGATTAAGGCCCTCTTAAGAAATGACTTCAAATACACAGCAAAACACAGCAGGGGCAAAAGGCTGCTGTGAACACACAAGAAAGGATGAGGGGAATGAAGATTCACCCCTTAACAGAAGTAAAGACTAAGGCAAGGACTCACAGCGGAATGGGTAACTGAACCCTTGAATTCAGTGTCTTTATGAAGACACTGAGGGAGCTTTCTTCTCCTTTTTATACATGACAAGATATATCACTAGTCTCCTAAACAATTCTTTTGGAGCTTTTTTCACAAATAAGATTCAGAACTTACTTGGTAGAGTTACCTCTGCAATGGTAACATGGGAAACCACAGGGACTGAAAATTCTCTCCAAAGGAGACTGTTTTGGGCATGCCAATTTATTAGCAGTTTGAATGACTATTCTAGACAATCACATTTTCCCTGCTAATATTTAGTTAGAACATCAGTTCACTGATTAGCCTTCAGCCTTTCATAATAAAATAAGTTATTTGCATTGTGACTGATTACTTTTGCTTGGTCAAAGCAAACATCTCACTATCATATGCCATTAAAGAAAAAGTAAGGAACGAAGGATGAAGAAAGAAGGAAGAAGGAGGAATGAAGTCTGCATATTCAAATTAGCATTTTTGAATCAGAGCTAGGTATCTCGCCATTTGCCTTCTAAAACGTGCATTAGATCAGCAGTCAAAGATGGGTCTTGAGGCCTCAGTCTCCCAGTCAGTTTGACATGACAGTTTTTTTGGTTCTATTCTCCTTTTCTCCAAATTTAGGGTACTGGTTGGGCTTCCTAGAAAAATAGACTAACCAGATCGCAAACGAATAAGGGACAGGTCGGATCAGTATTTGGATATGGAGTGGTAACACAAAAAAACCCAGGACACTCAAGGAAGGAAGATGTGCAATTCCATGTGTAGCTCTCTTCCCTCTCTGATTCACAAATCAGTCATTCTCTCACATTCTCCCAGAAGTCCTGTGTAACTATCTTCAGATTAAATATATAATCATCTCCTGAACATCTACAGTTATTAAAGAACCCATGTTACCTTACCAGCAATTATAGAGACGTCATGATTGAATCCAACTGGAAAAATCACATTTCCTTCCTGGAACTTCACAGTCCCAGTTGCAACTGGATAAAAAGTCTCCCTCCTGTAATTGAACACTTGCATGCTAGTTTTCCTAACTCAGTATTTAATTGCACTCAAGAAATATGAAGAACTGTCATTGACACACCCAACTACAGGACATGACATGCTACAGGTAAAACAGAAGTCAGTCACGTAGTGTGACTGACTTTCTTCAGAAAAGAAAGAATAAATTGTTGTTAAGGAAATCCAGAGATCCCATGAAGTCACCTTTCTCTCTCTAAGCAACACTGATAGATAAGCTTCAGCTCTGGGATTTCATCGGTACTAGCTTGCAACAGGATAGGGGTTTTGGATCTTTCCAATTGTTTTGATCATTCACTGCTCTTTTTTTTTTTTTTCTTCTATCCAGTGAGTAACTAATACAAGAACAACCCCATAAGAGTGAGGATTTATTGCCTGGGAATGCCTTTGATATTTGGAAAAGCATAATTGTGATTTTCCACCTGCTAAGGATCAAACCACTGAAGATTTTAGGCAGGCTAGAAACAGAACAGGGCAGGACAGGAAGGGTTCCAAACAAAACAAAATAGAATAGAACACAATAAAATAAAATAGAATTTCACTTCAGAAGTTCCATTCTAAAGCACAGGAGATCAGCTGGTCAAATCAGATCAAAGTATGGTGCACACATACACATGCGAGACGACTGGCTATACACTCATGAACATCTCTGAGAAAGCTCTCCCAACCCATGCCTGAGAAACCATGTTTCAGGCTTCCTGTCACGAAAATTCACAAATGTGATGTCGGTCTCCCCCGCCCCAAACGTGAGAAATTGTGTCTGTGAAGACTTAAGTTTTAATGAAACATAGCAGTAGACTGAATATCTCAGTTTTTTGTAACTTGGAATATAATAAATCAGACTGCTTAGGTGTTATTAACTGTAAAATGTACTTTTAGAATTCTTCAGTGCTAGATACTGAAGTCCTTCCCATGCATCGCCCCTGGAGTTTTATGAACGTAGAGAATCTACCTTCTGCAAAATAAAGAACTATTTGGGGAGCAGAGGAAGATTAAGCAAAGATTAAGCACGGAATTGCAATAAGGTAATTTTGTTCTAATGCATAAACACGATATGTGATGAAACACAGCTGGCAGTCAACACATCTATTGAAAAATGGCTGATAACAATTTTGAAATCACAAGGTTATGGAAAGCTGTCTAGGAGTTTAAATGTGTTGAAAATCCAGCGGGATCTAGGGCACTTAATTCCCTTTGATTTCTTGGAAAGTCTCAGTGTGAGACAAGATTCTGCCCTTGGTGACAGACAAGGCATGCCAAATAGCCCAGTCCATCGCTAGCTGTTGACAGAGCTAACATTGCAGCTGAAATGTAGAGCTTTTAGTGTTGTTTTTCCCAAAGAAACTGGATATGGATAAACCAATTGGGAAAGAACCAAGGACTTTCTCCATTTCGCTCATTCTATGATGCTCTTTCTAAGGAATATTACCTAAATTATTAGTATTATTATTATGTTTATTGTAGTAGTGCCCAAGAGCCATACAAGAATGGGCACTCACTGCAGAAGGTGCCATACAAACGGGAATTGGCCAATCAGCCCTGCAGAGGGGAAGTGATGGGGAAGGAGTTTAACAGTCTGAAATGCACTGCTGTCACCATTATGTCATGCTAATGATTCACCCCCTCCACCCTTTTGGTGGTTTTACTTGGAAAAGGGTAAGGAAAACAGAAAAGGGAGGGAAAAGGCAGAAGAGACAGTAGAGAAAAAGGGAGAGGGGGAAAGCAGAGCAATTCTAAGTATTTTTGCCTGTCTTTTCCTATTCTAATCCTCTTTCTATTAGCTCTGGCTTATTCAAAGATCTCAGATAGTTCACCAACTTAAATTTATAATCATACTTAGCTACTTTAAACACACAAGTGAAGTCACCTCTTAATCACCTTCTTTCAAGCCAGAATCCCAGTTTTGTCAATCATACCAAATACATGAAAATCTTTACAGCATTAATCATCCCTTGCCTTACACTATGTCACTGAACCCTTTGCATTAAAGGTTAACTTTTAACTACCTTACTCCAAACAGTAAGAGAGACCAAAACTGAATGCTAGTCTAAATGCATGCTGACAGGGTTTTACAAAGAATTAACATGGTACGCACTATCGTATCAGCCCATATCATTCCCAGTCAGGAAGTTTGTCTAATTTGGGGCGGGGGGGAGGGAGGGTGTTTCATTTTGGTTTCCATCCCAAACTGTAACAGAGAGATTCATGTTTTGTTGTTGAAAAAAATATAACTATCCATACTCCAGGTGGCAGGAACCTTTTGATGACCTTGGATCAAATCTTAAGTTTGTGACAACTCAAGAAAGTAACTGTTTCTGCACAGCTGTGCAGTTATCTAATCTAATCTTTCTAATCAGTTCAACTTCCCACTTACTCTTCAAGGTAGAGATAGCTGTTCTCCTGTGCCAGCCTTCTTGCATGTATCTGGGAATCCTTGGCTGTGGTGCCATAGGAGATAACCATGGCACCGTACTCACGGCACGTTTTCACTCTGGCAGGGGAAGTGCTGGTTGACATGATGACAAACACTGGAATACGGAGTTCTGAGGCGTGGTAAGCAACAGCCATGGAAAAGCTACTGTCTGAAGCCACGATCACTCCCTTTCTTTGCTGATCCTACAAAACAGGTTTACTTATTGCACGTTCTGCAGCGCCGCAAACTGGTCCCCTATCATCATGGATCATTCTAGTGTTCTGACTTCCTCCTACTAGATCTCATCCTTCTTTTCCTGTACTACTTCATTATATTTTGATATTATGACAAACTATATGCATGTCTGGGTGGATCTTAGGACCCACCCGGAGCTAACACAGTATAAGTTCAATTTCTGTTCCTTTGTTTCTCTAGGTTCCATTCTTGTTCTGTTGGAATTAGTTGCAAACCTCCAGCTAATTCCAAAAGAAACAATATCTAGTCCTTCTTCCCTGCCTATAGGAAATAATTTAATTTCAGGTTTCCTTGTAATAGAAGGAATTATTTTTCATTATTCGTATTATTGCAGAAGTGCAAGAATAACCAACGTTTCTGAACTGCCATATCATGCCAATTATAGTTATTACTATTACAGAGACTCAATAACCTCCAATAACAAATGATAAAGATAGTCATGTAATGATATTGTATTGACATTACAAAATCAGTCAGTGCTCTACACTCATCTCATCATCTAATGTGACTTGATTTCATCACTTCAACATGTCAGAACCATAATACATATAAAACCATGTCAATGCAAGTGTCGCAGAAAAATGCTGACATTTACATTTTGCAAACTGTTCTTTCAAAGATTCTTACATCATCAAATAATCCAGCAGATTTGTCAAGTGTAAATAAAGAAGTAAAATATTTTACATTCAGATATTTGCAGACTTATCTATGCGCTTAGTCAGCACAGTGGTTCAAAAGTGAAGAAACACAGGAAGTCTATGGACATTACAGATAAGATTAGCTTTTCTTCTGCTCAACTTTCGTGAAGCAGAAGTGATCTACTTCTTTTTTTACAAAGATATTTTGTCACACCTGAGGCAATGATGTTAGAAGGTAGAGTACACCTCGTTCCTTCACAGATCCTGTGTACTGGAGGAACTCTTTCTTTAGGTAGATGTCCACTCCATACTGCTTTGACAGCCTAGAATACTGGAATAGAGAAATATTATTACAGTGATGTATTTAAAATGGAAAAACATTCCTGCACACCCCATCAGCTCGTTGGTTAGGCAGGCAAAGTGATCGCTATGCGTGAGCTCCACAGAGTAAGTTGTCTAATCCATATCTTTGGAAATCCATGACAGCGTGCTGCTACCTTCCAGATTCTTGTGGTTTATGGAAGTCATTTTCAAACTTGCAGTAGTGAAATATGTGCCCCATGTTATTATGCGTTCTGAAAATAAGACTGGTTTTGATCTTACCAACCAAATATATACATAAAAATAAGCATTTTCAGTTATTTCAGAAGCCATGCTATGGGCTGATATTTTAGCACTTGCCAGAACTGGAAAGTGAATACCCCAGAAATAAAGTTATCTTCAATAGATGCAAAAGCAGTTCAAAATTCTTTCTTTTAATCCCACTCCGTCATATGACTCTGCTTATGGTTTCAGCCACCAGTTCACCACTGAGTATCGCCCATTTTGCACCTTAACTCTGGTATAATATTAGCAAAGTCATTTTTCATTTGAAGAATGATGCAAATAACAAGAAACATTTCCCAGGGTTTCAAATATAAGCAGCAACTGTTTGCAAATATGCAGTGTTTAGAACAGAAAGGATCCCTGAGCTGAGAGGATTAGCAAGCAGAGCACATGTGATGCAGTGTTCAAATGCATGAATTTTCTGCCTCTAACAAACCTTTGTCATTTCTTACAGTACAATAGTCACCCCAAGTATTGTCACATTCATTTCCTATTACCATATTATCTGAAACACAAGTTTTAAACAAAATCTCTCAGGAACTAGAGGCACAGCAATCTCATGGAACTGGAATCCAACTTCCATTGGCTGCTAATGGGAGTGAGGACTTGTGCATTTCGGGGATTAAGCCCTTGTTTATGACAAGTCACAACAAGAGATAGATTAAAAGACAGCATGGCAAGATGTTTTAAATATTTCTCTCAAAAAGTATGCAAGTGTCATATACAGTAATTATGATAACTGGATAGTTTTGCAACATGTTTGTCAGACTGTGCGACTTTCAAAGTGTTAAGTATTTCTGCAAACTAAGCATCCCTGAAACAGGTACTTGCTTCAATTAAACTAAACATACAAATATTTGTAAAATACAAATATACAGTTAAACTAAGTATTTCAAATGAATGTTTCCAGGCTTTTTAGTGGATTTACAAACATTTATTAACTTCCTCACCCATAGGTGGGGCCAGATTCTCTATGTTGTTTCTGAAAATCCTGCAATCATAGGAGCCTCCACTTTGTGAAAATCTGGCTGCAGAGCCGAAAGAGTGGAAAGTTCTTAGTAAACTAATAGGATAACAGTTTCTATCCTAAACAGCCTAAACTGTGAGGAATGCCTAAGCAAAATAGGACAAGACCACTGGAAAAAACTACTTTATCGGTTCTTCACATTAGTTTCATCATATTTGCTTTTGTAGAGCATCTCGGATTCTATAGTGACCAAGGATAAAATTGCTTTAAGGAGACCAATCCTGTGAGTTTGTAAAGTTGCTAAGGCTCCTACATTAAAAAATATGCCTCATTAAGTCACTCTTTACCACAGAAGAGGTGAACTTTAGATATTTCTTTTTTGAACATTGATACCCAGTAGTTTAACCCTTTAGGTTATCCTTTCCTGCTTCAAATCCTTCCTTTAACTGAGGCTTTTTCATCTGGCCTAAATATAGCAATTACTTCTAATAATAGGAGGAGAGGAGGTGTCGGTGCTATCTTCAGCTGTACTGACCTGATGTGTGACCTTGCAAGACTCACTGAACCTCCCTATAACTTTCCCCTTTTGTCACCTTGATCCTATCTAGGAAATAGAGATACTGTGTCTAATGTACAACACAGCACACTGCAGCCTCCACGTGGCATCCATAAAGCTAACACAAAACAACATTTAAAGCTCCTACATCAGCAACCAAAGTAAGTGTCTGATTTAATGCTAAAATACTTGTTTTCCTGTTCCCACCACCTCTACCAGATCTATCATTCATCGTGCCATGTCTCAGCTTCAGGCATGCTCCTGCACAAGGATCCAGTAGGGTGCTTCACTCGTGGTCTTACCTGAAGAGTAGGAATCAAACTGCAAAAATTCATTTAATTAATTGAACGTTCTCTAGACATGCTTGCTTTTTTATCCAAACAAATGTCTCTGAAAGAGGCTCTTATTTCTCACTGAGGAGGAGGTAAAATAAAAATTATCCATGTTTTCCTGGACACCACATTGTGCTTTAAATAATTTCCCTTACACGCATGAAACATATACTAATGTTTTCTGCATGAATATTACTTTGAATAGCAACAGACATAGGCTATTTTCACACCAAAACAAATAGGGAGATAAGTTTTCCACTAACACGATCATCCTAAGAGCATATTTCATAAAAGGAGACTAAAGAAAGTTAGCCTGCCTAGCTTGGCACAGTGAAGGCAGAAAGGGGATATAACTGGACAGCATTAATCCGTCAGGGTCATCCAAGAGAAATGAGTTATTTAAGTTAAGGGACAATGCTGCTTACGAACAAATGGTGTGACATGGTCAAAGACAATTTAACTACTAGTAAGCAGGAGCACGATCAGTTTATGAAAAATTTCATGTTATGTGAATACCTGCAGGAGCAGAAGATGGACTCTGAGATGCAGTCTCACCTTTTCCCACATTAGGATGTGTTGGTTGGCTCAGTTTTAGAGCACCAGCAACACTTTGTGACCAAGAAGGCAGCTTGTGGGACTGGTCTGAGATACAGCTTCTACTAGTTTTGAACTGTTGGCCTGATCCATCTGGGCGGACGGTGTGAGCGAGGTCCTGCATTGAGCCACCTGGCCAAGGCGTCCACAGTTTCACACTGTCTGATTCACAGAGGTAGCATCCTACAGCTCCTTGGCAGACATGCACGTGGCTGTGAACTGCAGGGACGGGCTGATCCAAGCTATCAGAGGGCACAAAGCTAGCTAGGTCTGTTTTGCAAATCAAGCCAGGACACTCTCCCTCTCCCTGCCCACTGACCTACCTTTATAAAGCAGTATTAAACCCAACTAACAAGTATGACCGGAGTGGTCAATTGCTGGAAAAGCGCAGTCAGTGCTCACAGTCCCCAGCTGCAAAATAAACGCACGTCATCTCTTCCTGGGATAGTCTCTCCACAAAAACAAAACATGAACGCTTCTGTCTAGGGCACTGTGTGTGCTCTCAGGCATAACATAGTCTGTGAACTTTGGTGACAAAAGAAGCAAAGTGTTATGACAAGATCAGCTGGCTATGCTCCTTCTGCTCTCCAGGGCCCTGGCCCCCAACCACCCATGCTGCACATGTGTTTGTTCACTCCCATGCTGCCTTCCTAAGCAAGCTGACTTTTTCACTCTGAAAGGAAAGCCAGGTACAGATGGCAGGACAGTTTATCCTGAGTCACTCCGAACAAATACTATGAACGCATAAGGCATCGAATTTGACACCCTGCACTCCAGCCAACGCTATCCTGCAAGCTTTTTGTGCCACCTTACAGGCCCAGACATGCTCATACCATGCCTTGTGTTAAAGCACACTCAACTTCACTGTTATGCTAAAAAAGCCACAGCTATCCCTATTTTGGGAACACTGAGCTGCAAAAGCACTGAAAACAAATTCCGACGTCTTCAGGCCAGCAGGCACCAGCTGGGAACCAGGGCAATGGCTGTGTATTGCAGACTAAACTAATATGCTCCAGGGTGTGTTAGCCCCAGATAGTATGGACACAAGGCAACTTTGCCAAGCGGTTCAGATGCCATGGCCCTCTCCCTGTACAGGCCAGAAGGAAAACCTGTAGTCAGGGAGGCTGGTGGGATCCGCCTAGGGGGTCAGCATCAGGGATGGACCCCTTGAGAGAGCGCTTCTCAGGCTGCTGCTCTCAATTGCCATCTGGCAAAGGCTCCCTTCACCCTCCACAGGGAAAAGAGGAGATTAGCCACAGAGTGCCCACAACAGGCTTCTGAAATGCTCCCAACAGTAGAAATAAGCTATGAATTAAATAGCTTAAGGCACTGTATTTCCACTACATTTTATCAAATAATTATACATTTACAGTGCAGGTATTTCAGCCGTTTTCACACCTAGACTGTTTGATAGGTACACGTGTATATACTTTGATGCCCTTGTTTTCTCAGAAAGGCACTTGGCAGAACCACTCAGAGCACATATCCCACCTTGACAGGTTTGCCAGCTAGGAGAGAAAGTCTGTATGTTCGAACTCTCAGAATATGTGGATCGGTTTCCAAATGAGACGCTCCCACAAGACTGCTTACCCCAACACTGATGGTTGGCTTACCCCAACACTGGTTACCTGTAGCAAGCGTTTTTCACTGGGTGCATAATATCACAGTGCATTAAGTCTATGCCTAATGAGGTTTATCCTTTGTTTACAGATCACTGCAATCTTTGAAGATTTAGGTTAGTGTGAACAGATAAGGAGAAAATGATTACTGACAGATGACAACAACTAATAGGAACATCAGTCATCTTACACGGACGAGCAACTGCCACATACTCCTCAGTCATTTCTGATTAGCTTTTATAGAAAAAGGAGAAATTTAGAGAATGCAAATCTATAAAAATTCCCTACCATGCAGGGTGTCTTCTGAACACTGCATTGGATTTTGAAAGCTGCTGCACTAATGTCTTCAAATCGAATCAGCTTGTTATAGCTTGACGGGCTGGTCCTACTGCTTGACTGAGGGATTCGAGAAAGGGCATGCCCAAGCAACTCCTCATTACGGCTCACTATCTTCATTTCCCAGGTCTTCACATCCCCATTCAGGTAGTCCTCCTCACCAAAATCTTTTAGTCTCTCAGGGTTGATAGAGGCTGGCCGCTGCCCAATATGGCCATTTCTTATTGGCCCATCTTTACAACTGTGAAGATCACAATGGGTTGGGGCATCTTGTTTCTTTATTTTACTGTCATCCCTAAAAACAAATAAAAGAATCTCGTTAGGAATGTCTGGATGATTAAAGACTTGACATTTAGCATTCAAGAAGGATGCCCAGCTCTTTTGTAAGACTCAAATAGGAAGACTAAATGATTAATGTCATATTACCTATCTTGCAGGTGTTTTGAAAGCTACTGTAACCAGCTAGCTGTTAGAAAGGCTGCAGATAACCTGACATGCGCACAAACTGAAAAACTGTCACACCCAAGCAAATAAGAAAGCGGTACAGCTGTCTGTGCAGCTAGACCTTCCACAGTGTGAACCTCAATCAGTGACCGTCCCAGTTCCCAGTGGCTACTGCAGAAAATTTGAAATAACTAGTACTGTGTTTGCTGTATGCAATTCTATGTTTTTCAAAAAAGGCAAACGGCTCCTAAAGACCATTCCCTAATGTTATTCATAGCAGGAACAAGTGTGATTACATTGTATATAAGACTTCTGCTTCTCCACTCTTACATACTTACAAAGCATATTCTTGGCAGCCATCAACTGCCTTGTGATAGCATGAAAATGACTGTGATACGGGGTAATAATTATATCCTGCTATGAAGCTAATAACAAGGGCTCCTAATCCGTGATTTAACATTTCATACTTGTAGATAATAAGAGACTGTGATGCCACACAATCCTCCTTCCCCGAGGAACTTTGAAGAGACACCACTTTGCTACAAAAATTTGCCAGTATTCCTACCGGTTTTCTAAGGACGCATTTAGAAAACTATCATGCCACAAATACAGTACTGAAAATAATACAGTTGCTTCACAGTTACCTTAGACTGTCCTACCCTGTGGTCCACAGCAAAACAAATAAGATAGGCTCCAGGAGTTCACATGGGATAATATGCCATAGTGTAGGATTTTGCAGCCCTACTAACAAAAAAAGCAAAACTTCTAGATTTCTTGGAATTCAGAGAGTGACTCATGGAGGGAAAGAAGCATGAAGCAGAAGACCATTGATTTGGAAAAGAGCTGAAACCACCCCAGGTCTGAGGCTGTGGCTACACAGATGTTAAAAGCCTTTCCACACAAAGGGCTCAATGCTACTCTACTTGGAATAAACTGTTTTCTAAAAAAATATACACATTAAATTATGTCAGAGACTTCCGTATCATTGCCAACAGAAACCTAAGCTTTCTTGTCATTTACCATTTCCACAAAATAATCTGGATTTAAGCTATGCAGTTATTCATTAGCTGAGCTCATGAAAGGACTGTTGCCCTAGTTTTACAGTAGCAATTACCACTGTAATGTATGTTGTGTTCATTTCCAATAAGACATTTAAAAATGTTTAGAAACAGCTGCTCTTTGAGCAGCTGTCCCCCTTTTGACAGTGGCATCCATGTTCTCTGTGGTCTCGTAAGCTATGCCAGCAGCTCTGCTTCCTATCACACTTCCAATTGTTCCACTGAGGGCTTCGCTTGACAATATGAGCAGCATAAAAGGTTTTATTATTTGAATCAAGTACTGTATTAGTAGCACTGGTTATTAGGTATATCCTTAAAAGTTTATTTCACAAGCGACAGAAAAGAAAGCTTCTGTAGTACGGTCTTTTCTCTCCGCAATTCCTGAAATAACACTTATCTTCTAAAAACAACAACAAAAAAGAGAGTATTTACACATTTGTAACTTGTTTGTGTTGACAATTGTGATTTAAAATGTCTTCCTGGGAGCACATCTTAAAGTTGCTATATCCAATGAGCAGAGACTGTGGCTTCAAATTAAAATGTTTTATCAAGTAGCCCTATTCCATAGTTTTCTGCTTTTCTGCTCCTTTGGGGTTGGAGGTTGATGGGAACTGGGACGTTTCATAAGGATGTTAAACTTACAATGTTAGTTCTTGTGCATATGAGTTAGTTTAAGGCAACCAACGAGAATCAGATCAGACCGGCTCCCAGCGAGCTTGTTACAGCACAGCCTGTGGTTTTTGGAACTAAATAGGACTATTGCATAAATGACAGCTATCATGACCCTAGAGCATTCTCTTAGGCATTCATGTATTCAAAAACCAGAACATTTCCTATAACACAGTCACCCATAACTACTCCAAAAAAAGAAGAAAATATACATCTTATCTCTAAACATATATCTATCTTGTGCAGCAATCATTAGCAATGCATGACATTTCTTACATTGGCAATGGGTTAAAAGGATACATAGGTTGATCAAAAACTCGTGATTTTTTAGGTCAAAAAATTTTTACTAAATGGTGTTTGAGATAGGAGACATTTGATGATGTGGGGATATGTGGGATAAGATGACAGTGGGATATGATGATATATTCCACTTTTTCCCCCGTTTCTTTTGCAAACAACTACAAAAAGTCAATAAAAGCCACAGTCAAAAAAACCCACAAAAAGTCCACCGATTAACGAGGATTCTGCTAGAAAGTACAAGCTGCAGGGCAACACTCTATCACACTAGCGCTGTCAAACATTTTTGTTTCGGCAAATGTAAAGAATAAAATGGGATACTGATTTTTGGCCCTATTCTTGGATTTCCTTGTCCTGGCTTAAGAAAATAGGGAAGTAAATCAGATTCTTAGTCTTCGTCTAGTCCATAAGTTTTTGATAGTTACAGAAATATTGGGCTAAATTTTCTACTATCAACATTCTAGCAAAAAAAAAAAAAATTGGTTCCTGATCTGCAGGAACCTGATCTGCTCTCATTCTTGCTGCCATGAACAGGGAATAGCTGCTAAGGTCCCTAGTAGAGTCACCACCTTACAGTCATTAAAAATAAGAACAAAATGTCAAAAAGATGTGAAAATGTATAGTACTTTCAAGCTGGAGACATATTTGAAGCATATCTGAAACATTAACATCTCAGCATTTAATATGGAAAATACGATCCATTGGCATCAAAAAGATCTGCAACCTCATTACCAAAGGACTATCATCATGCTATTGCATGTTCTATTTATTTCAGATGTATTTTTATTCTCCTTCTATGGATACATTTTTCAGTTTCACTAGTGAACGACATGTTTCACCACTGAACCCATCCGGGTGCACCATGGACCCACTGAGAGCTCTCACATTCCCAAGGTAAACAGTGGTTTTAGGTTTGATAGTTCATCATAAACGGGCAACTAACAACCCAGATGCACTTCTCTTTTAACACAGTTCATACGCTCTACAGCGATTACCTCATCGTGAATTTCTTTTACAGGAAAAGTCAAAGTAGGCATCAAAACATGCAGATGCTAATGGTAGGTGCAACGAAAAGATGACATGTGACTTCTCATGCACAGTAACAAAATACGGTGCCTGTCTAATGATCATGGCCAACAGATGAAAATGCAGAGCCAACATAAACCCCAGCACTATAAAACATTGCTCCTTTCAAATGAATTGTTTGTCATTTTTAGGAGTTTGTCATAGGAAAGTTTTCTTGAAAAAGGGTGTTTATTTCCAGCTATAAACAAATATCCAGCTGGTAAGTTTTGTTACATGGTTATGCATCACACCATTTTACCTTTAAAATGATTAGTAAAAGCAAACATGAAAATATAGTTTATAAACCTACTTTTTCAAGAACAGCTGCTCAGCATAACTGCAAAAAATAAAAGAGAAGATCCATATGGAAGCATACCATGGATAATTAAGGAACTAGAGAAAATACAATTTATTTAAACAGATAGCTTTACATAGTTTAAAGTCTCAACGCCAATGCAAAGACATTGTGGTGAAATGTACTCTGACATTGATAAAAAACAACAACTTGGAACAAGTAATTTTCTGTTTCTAATTTGTTTTCTTGAATACAGTGATATTTTACATCAAGTCACATAGCACTGAGGAAAATAAGTTTCGTAAAATAAAAATATTAATCAAAAATGAATTAATAAAACAAAAATAAATTTAGGAAAATAAAATTTGGTAGTTGTCCATACTATATTTAAGCCACAGAACTGTTTCCTCTGTTACAAAGAGAAAGAAACGTCTACATAGTTCTTCTGCAATAACAGAACAATTATATGTCCCACTCAGATGAAGCCCACGCAGATTGGCCTCCTCAGTTTCCATGGGGAAAGGACTAAATAGATATACAGGATCTCTCCAGCTTCTAAAACCGAAGGAGTAAAAATCTACAAACTCACAGCTACCTAGTAAATGGTGAACGGGAAAGGACCAGTCACAATTTCCCCCAGTATGAGTGCCAGGGGGACATCTTATGAAATCATCAATTCAAAAGTTTAAAACAAAGGAAGTTCTTTTGTCCACAGAAAATAATTAGCTTGCAAAACTCTGGCACAGGATGCTGTGAGGGCTAAAAGTAGAAATGGGTTCCTAAAAAAGATTATGCAAATATAAAAAGATGCATTAAATTCATTGTTCAGGAAGCAATCTGTGATTCAGGAAGCCCCTCAGCCCTTGCTTGCCAGACTCCACAAGAGCATATCAGAGTAAGCATCTTTCTTATGTGTCTTAATGCTACATTTTGCTCCAAGCTCCCATTACCGGCCACCACTACAAAGAGTATACAGAAGCAGATGGCCCTTTGCTCTGATCCAGTGTTGCCATTATGGCATTTTGATTTGCAGACATATCCAAAGCCAGCATTTGGCTTATTAGGCAGCTTTTACACTTATTTTGTAAAATTAGTCAAGACAATGCATTTTGAGGTAGAAATGATGTTGGAATTATAGACATCTGTTCCAATGTCATTGCTCTCCTTCACAGAAGGAGATAAGAGAAGCTCAAGAGCCACAGTAGGCAATAAATAAATTTTAGTACAAAAACATTGTCACTGAAAACTCAGGATTTCTTGGTAATTTCCACAGCACTTTCTATTATCTGCATTCACCATGATTCATACTGACCATTCAGAGGAGTTGCCAGCCGGGTAGGTTCTGTATTATTTTTCAGCATCCCCAATGTCTATGCCAAGATAAGTATTTCAAAAACCAGTACATAATTTGGACTGAGCAGTGGCAGAGTGCAAACCAGCTAGCATTAAGCTTGAATACCACTTCAAAGCATTCCAATGAATTGGGATTGTAATTAAATACATTGGCGCACACATGTGCACGTGTACTCTATACCTGGATTTTTTCATACTTTTTTAATGTTTGGGGGGTTGGGGTTACTTATGTTGATGTCCTTATGATGCCATCATCTTCAGGCTCTCAGAACACCTTCCTACAGCACACTGGGCAACAGACATTGGTAAAATAAGGTTTTAGACCTCTCTTATCTGCTTTCTGGACAAGCGGGCTCAGATCTTTTCCCTGCAACTTGGAAATACTTACAATAGCAAAAAGCGATTGCCTTTAAAATCACCGCTGCCTCATTGCTCAAGGTGTTGAGCAGAGATGGATCATGGATAGAGGAGGAGGTAGTCTGCTGCTGGTAGCAGGCTGCCTACTTGGCTTGGGACGGAGGAGATGTGAATAGGGCTGGAATCTCCTCTCTCAAAGGACTGAGAGAGAAAGATAATCCCAGAAGAGGATAGAGAGGGCCCCTTCCCTCACCCCTCCATCCCTCTTTTACCCAGAACCTCCCCAGCTCCATTAATCCTTCTTATTCCATGTCCCTAAGCCCTTCTCCTCTGACCCTTCTAGATGCTGTGCCTCCTGCATCCCTCTGACACCTTAGTGATTTATCTCAGTCATTTTTCCCACCAAAACTCCTAACCCTGTTGGTCCTATCTCAACTGCTTTTACCAGTGTGTATATCCCTGTGAGCTCTCCTACTTTCACAAAAATCCCCACTGACCTTTCCTTTCTAATTTTCCTGCCCCAAACACACCCAAATGCGGCAACAGCAGCAATTCTCATTAGTTTCTCAGCAGCTTGTGCAAGCTGGTCCTTATGAAAGAGGAATGATGGAAAAATTAAGGCTTGTTGAGATACAAATGTCAAGAAGCATCCTAAGAGATGTCATCAGCACCGCTAGCAATGCTAAGGCACCACGCTGCGTGGTAGCCAAGCATCCCCTACATGACTACGAGACAACAAGCAAAATTCTCCCGTTGACAAAGCAGTTAAAACAGATCAAAGATAAAACTACACAGGAACATTGATTTCTGAAATAATTATTATTTTGTATAAATGTAGTACTTAGAAACACCCATCTGAGACAGTATTACCCTAAGTATTCACAATCAAAGGATGAGAATTTAAAATGCATCTCCGACATTTAGATACCCAAATCCTATGTAAAGTGATTGTTCCTAAATCACATAGGAATCACCAATATCTTCCTCTAAACAGAAAGACAAAGTCAGTAAATATTAGCTTAACGTTACTGATAAGGAATTGGGGCAGAGACAGATTAAAATGACTTGCTTAAGAATCCCACAGGAAGTTTGTAGCAGGGCTGGGAATTGAGCCCAGCTGTTATTTATTAGAGTATCTTAAAAATAAATAGATCATGACTTAGTTTTTAGCTTTTATGACACAAACGTCCATCGTGACCATACAGCGTAGATAGGTACAAAATAACCAAGTCTTGAGATTAAGTCCACAGCAGGCACTTGCACCTCTCTCCACCTTATTCAGTACAGTCCAACAAGATTGTGCAGTCCTACACCAGCAAAGAGTGTAAAGAAAGCCCAGGCTCAGGCAGGGGACAATGAAGATGCATTACTGCTTCTGACACAATAGCTCACTAGTTTCAGTAACTCACATTTACTACAGACTGAGTCTAGCACTGTACCTGCCTGCGTCTGTAGTCACAGTCCATGGCCAGGCTTCCATACACATTACTGAAATGTCACTGCTTACTGCCGGCAATGATAACTAGGTATCAGCTGCTAAATAGATAACATGGGAAAAAATAATCTGAAAGTAAGATGAACTCAAAAGGTCATCCCTCTCGGGTACCTCTGCTTCCACACCTCCCAAGTGTCCCTTGAACAGATTCCTCTAAACACTTCTCACAGAATTTGCACAGCTCTGAATGTCTAATGATCAGTATAAAACACTTCATGCAGTTTGGCAGTTAAAACTCTTCAAAAATTAATCTTTTTTCCTCTTTAAATTAAATCTATACTGAATTTAGAGGTTCTCTTGTGATTAACACATTTCCATTATCCATCTGTAATAAAAGAAAAATTACATAACCTAAAGCAGAGATGAGAATGGTCCTGTAATTAAAAGACTGGTTTACGTTTCTAGGTTCACCACAGATATTGTGAGCGACTTTGGGCAGGCCAGTTTTTCTGCGAGACTGGGATCCTTTTTTCCCCTCTGGTGCCTTTTCTCTCAAGCTGCCTGTTTTGTGAGTGTTTATTAACAGCACTGAACCCATTGAAACAATTTGTGCTCTTAAATAGTACAAACATACGCAACTATTTGCAGCAAGCAGCAAATGATAAT